CTATAGAATTTACTTAAACCATATATAAGTTAGACATATTCGAAACAACTTGTTTTGCATTAAGGTTTCAAAAAGCAGTTAGCATTTACAAAAAACATTAGGGAGGGTTCTTCTCTCACGGCATCATGTTCACTCTACTTGCAGCGGGTGAGACAGCCACGTTCGAGTGCAGCGTGGCGGGAGAAGAGTCGGCCTCCGTGACGTGGCTCAAAGACAACAAGCCGCTGAGCGACCGCCTCATGGACCGCGTGTCCAAGAGCAACGTGGACAACGCCTTCAAGCTGGAGATCCAGAACCTCATCGAGGCCGACACCGGCATGTACACGGCGCACGCCACCAACGCCGAGGGCTCCAGCACCTGCACCGCCCACCTGCTCGTCCAGAAACGTGAGTATCCGCCACGTGTCACAGACGTGCTGTCGCGTTACACGCGGTAAAAGCAACGCCTAAATCTTTGAGGGAAAAGGAAAAACTTTGACGAACTCCCATGTTATCGGGATTTCCCCCATTGCTTGAGATCTCCTCAAAATCTGAGGAGTTTTCCCTTAAATATGGCATTTCCTCAAGGTTTTCCTTTTCCCCTCAAAAATTCAGACATTATTTTCACCGTGTTTAGATGATGTAAAAATCAAATAGCTTTTTCGTAAATTCAACATTTCCCCTATTTCAATAAATTTTCTTCAATACAGTTACGGACGAGGAGAGGAAACAGCGCGCCGAGGCGAACCACCCCGTGTTCCTGGTCAAGCTCAAGGACACCGAACTTCTGGAGAACACGTACCTTCGATTCATGGTCAAAGTCAAGGGCAACCCTAACCCCACCGTGAGATTGTAAGTCTGTTTCAATGAGAAACATTTTATCAGGAGTGGTTTACAGGAAAACCAGATATCACTGGTGAAAAGTGGAAAGGGCGTAGGTCCAATGCAAAGACTTACGCCCTTTCCACTCTTCACTAGTGACCTAAATCTGATCCTCACATTGTCACCTCGCAGCTACAAGGACGACAGTCGCATTCTGTCGACCAACGACCGCCTCAAGGTGAACACGGAACAGTCGGACGCCGGATACTACGAGCTCGTCATCCCGGAGGTGAAGCCGGAGGACGCCGGCAAGTACTCGTGCGTGGCCATCAACTCGTACGGCGAGGAGCGCTGCGACGCCCAGCTGTCTGTCGTGGGTGAGTAGAAGTGCTCCCATCGCACGTTGCAAGTGATGCAGAGACAAACGTTTATCGATTGTAAATCGTTTGCATTTCAGACGAGAAGGATGTTTTTGCGGGACTAGAAGAGGGTGAGGAGGTTGCCCCTGGGCAGGCGCCCACCTTCCACTGGACGCGCAACGGTCAGCAGTTCGACCCAGAGGAGCGGTTTAAGGTCCTTCTCACAGTAAGTACAGCAGCCTCTTTTTTCCCCTTTCATATGATCGTTGCATTCATTTGGGGTAAGGTGCCAGAGGTAGTTTCGATCCCACGCCCGAGCAAGCCCATGACGGCTACACGTGAAAGGTATAGTGCTCGCGCCTCAAATCTTATAGCTAGAACGCCCGCTTGTTTTCGTGTCTATCGCTGTATCATGCATAAGTTATATAGGCCTTAGCAGCTGCCCCCCAGGGCCCCACCTCCCCCCCCCTTTTAAATACATTCAGATTCTGTGTAATGATTTGTTTTGTTAATCTTTTACAAATCAACCTTGTAAATAATCGGGGGTCATCTGGCCTCCTTTTGGCGAATAGATGGGCAAAGTAGTCCATGGTGGCGTGCGACTGGGTTTGTGCAATTGCGCCCTCCGCATGGCCTCGAGTGCAAAGGGATCGTCCAGAAAGTACGTCCGCTTTTCTCAGATTCGTTCGGCAAATTACAGGAGCTTTGGCGCCTGCGAAACTCAGAGTAGGCCACCCAGCAGTGCATGTGTGCCCTGTAGACAAGATGTTGCCCACCTATCAGGCGCTATGAGAGCTTGCGTAGGCAGAACTGGGCAATTTCGTAACGGAAAATGGCGGACATAGTTTCTGGATTATCCCAAAGGCAACCAGGTATACCCATTCACTGAATCGAGGCTAGATGGCAACTCTGTGTGGTTGTACAAACATCAAAATTACAAAGTGAAGCCTTTTCCAAACAATAACTTTTCTAAAACCAGTTTTAAAAAATCTGTTGTTAGTGGTAGTTGTATATTATTTGTCATTATTGCCAAACGTAAGTGAACCCTGTATGATGTGCTGCCGCAAACCCTTCCTGGTACGCCTTTTTAGTGTCTAGTAAAGCCCCTGCCGCCGCAGCAGCTGTCGTTGGCCTCAATGGAACACCTTTATGTTGAGACCCGGCGTGGGCTTATGGTCACTTTTAGCGCCCATGCGCAGTTTGCAGCTGTGCCTCCTTGTCTCGCTCTTTAGACGCGTCCTTAGACACTTAGTTGCGCTCGAAAATAATACCAATGCTGGCGTAGACGTGCTGTCGACCTCTTTTTGTTAACCTGGCCTTTTACTTTTCTTCACAGGAGAACAAATTGAAAGCATTGCTCGAGGTTTGTACAGAGTCCCATTCTACTACGCACGGCTGGCTTTTGTTCTCGTCGCGCGCGCGCGCTTTGTCTCGCATAACCGAACCTCTCACAGCCACATACATATAGCAACAGCAGCCACAACCGCTTTCCGCGCCATATATAATAACGTTTTATTTCTTGACATGTGAACGACCTCCCCACTCACTAACACCCCGCGCTGCTGCTTGCCGTCCTTGCAGGCCCAGAGGCAGGAGGAGCAGTGCCTGCAGCGGATAGAGGGCGCGTTCATAACGGGCGATGAGCGTCAAGAGCGCTGGGAGATGGACTTTGAGCGCGAGTCCGAGGGCGGGATTCAGTCCCCTGAAGATACCGTGGGCGGGATCATTCGGATTCAGTCCCCAGAAGATACCGTGGGTGGGATAAAGTCCCCAGAAAGCGCCGAGGAAGGAAAGGGCCGGCAGGATCTCCAACAGGGCCCCCAGCAGGGCGGCCTGCAGGTCCCTCTGGACCCCACTGCACGGCAGATCAAAACCATCGCGTTCGCCAAGTACGCGCAGGCCAGGAAGCTGAGCGTCCTCGAGAAGAGGATCAACGCGTTCCGGAAGAGGGAGGAAGGTGACGCGTTTGAGGGCGACGACGTGGAGGAGCGGACGGAGGAGGACGAGAACGAGCGCCTGCAGGCGGGCGGGCAGGACTCGGAGGGAGGCGACGAGCGCGTCAGGATGGAGGAGAGGGAGTTCCAGAGGCTCAGAGAGATTGAAAAGGAGAAGGAGGTGGAGAGATTAAGGCAGCTGGAGATAGACAAGATGACGGAGAGGCTCAAAGAGGAAGAAAGGGGTGCGGAAATAGAAAAACAAAAGGAGATCGAAAGGCAAAAAGAAGTAGAGAAGCAGAAGGAAGTAGAAAGGCTAAAACGAAAAGAAGAGCAAAAGAGACTTGAAAAACAGAAAGAAATAGAAAAACAGATAGAACAAGATAGACTCAAGGAATTCGAGAAGCAAAAGGAAATAGAACGTCAGAGAGAAATAGAAAAGCAGAAAGAGATAGAAAGGCAAAAAGAGGTAGAGAAGCAGCGGGAAATAGAACGCCAGAAAGAAATAGAAAAGCAGAGGGAAATAGAACGTCAGAAAGAAATAGAAAAGCAGAAAGAGATAGAAAGGCAAAAAGA